GAGAATATGGAAGTACCGAGTAGAGAGACAGCTCCTTTGAAAAGAGTCACCACCTTCCCACACCCTTATTTTCATTGATATCTTAACAGTATCGTTCCTTGGGTATTGTCAGGCTTCTAACTGGTTCAGTCATGGCTGATTCAGCAAATAGGAACAGACCCTAATTTTTATAATTTAAGGGAAGCTGAACAATAACCAGAGCAGGAAAACTTATGAGTTAAAGGCCTGGATTGGGATACTCACAAGAGGGGTGTAGTGAGCCCTTTCAGGGGCCTGATATAGGCAACTGGATTATTGCCAGGAGTGTGAAGAGCGACACACATTCAAAGCAGCACAGTCAGCCACCATCTTTGAGTAGGGCACTGTTGTTTCCCACACTGCCAGTCAAGAGATTTGGTTGCTGTGTACTGTTTTGTAAGAGGGAGATTAAGTTTCCAGTAGAGTGTCAACCCATAGTTTTTCCCATTCCAGTTATCACTCCAATACACCCATGTTTTACAAATTCAGGTCCATTCCTGTTTTGCTTCACTGGCTATGACTGAACCAGAAAGAAGCAGTTTGAAGCCCTGGTTGTTGCCTCCTTGAAACCTGTTCTCCCATGGCCTCTGTGATCTTGCATCTCCAGACACATTTTTTAAGTCTCCTTTACCGACTGGCATTGCATACCCCTAGAGCCTAGAAGGGGGACCAGCAGTTATGCCAGACTCATTGGGGCACAGGAGGAATGGGAAGAAGGCAATCCCAACGGAACTGTAACAACAAAGGTGTGAGGATGGCAACGTGTCAGGGAACAGCAAGGATTGGTTCTGGTGTAGTTAGTATGCACTTTGTACACAACCAGAATGACTACAGATGAAGGAAAAGGTTGTCCTTTGGCAAGGCGGCCAAGGAGAGTTTTAAACACAGAGTGATTCTTCTGAAGACTGGAAGAGATATAATTCAGGGAGCTGACACTGGAAAATAGGACAGTTCTGGCAGCCCTAGAAATGGCAGGTCATGTGGGTGGTAACACTGGAGAGGCAGGGCCAGAAATGAAGCTAAATTTTCAAGCTTGGACCACAGAAAGTAGCATGTTGTCTTTTAAAAATAAGAAAATGGAGGAGTGGTAGGAAAAAATATAATAGGAAGATGACTGGTTTAGTGTGCCATATACTTGGATAAAAGGTCCAAGTAATGAGTCAGTGGGTAACTAGATTGACACTCAAGAAGTGATACAATGTGGGAAGTCATCCACCCAGAACTGGCAGTTGAAGAAGTGTGTTAGTGTGTTGGGAGACAAGAGGAGAACACAGATGATGGTTCTGAGGGTACGCGACCCACCTCGACAGAATGGGAAGAGAGAAAAAAGCGCTGTCAGGATATGGTCAGAAAGTGATCACGGGCCAAGGAAGGAGAGGATTCAGGGTCAGCAGTGTCAACAGAAGGGCCCAGAGAGACAGGTGGATGTGGTGTCTATGAGGCCCGAGTGGCCACCACAATTCCAGAGAGAAAGGTGTGAGAGGATAGCTGTGGTGGAGGGAACTGCGGCTGCATGAGCAGAAGTTGGCCTACGACGGGAAGGACAAACGGACTGTAGCTAGAAGGGATGGCAAGACTGAAGGAATATCTCTGTTGCTGCAAACACAAAGATGAAGCATGTAAGTATAAACAGGAAAAAAAAAAAAAAACATTTGGTACCAGTTATAAGCTTTTCCTCTATGATTTTTTAAATTTCTAGAACCTGCTAACACCAAATATCAACAGGAACAGCAAAAAGAAAAGGTAAAGAATTGATTGTCTTAGTTCCTCAGCTTTGAAGACGAATGCTCATCATCAATTTTGTTGGTTTAATGTGTCTTTTAGAGCCCTGTTTACTGCCAGGTACACTTGCCCTAGTTTCCACCAAAAATAAAGGTATTAATGTTCTGTTATATTCCACAAAGCTTCCTGCTACCTCAATATATTCATTATATTAGAAAATTCCTGAATGTCAACACCCAAGGAATGTTTTGCTATATACTTTGAGATGAATTAAATTTTATATCACAGGCACATAATTAAATCCCCCCCCCCACTGGCTTTCTTTCATAGTATCCATTTGAATTCTTTCTATGACACAGCTTGTATTCCTGTATAAAAACTGTTAACTATGCTGTCATATTCCACAAGAAACCTGGCAGAGCATAGTTGCCTCTGTGGTTTATTATATATTTACTTTCTCACCACTAAAATAATTTTAGAATTAAATCTTTGAAGAACAGGAGTTAAGCTGTCTTAAAACCCCAGGTCTGCACTTGGAGGGTCCACATATCAGTATATCACTTAGCTGAAAGGAATGGTGGGATTTTATAAACATACTGTTTAAGACATTCTAACACTTTGTCTTTGAAAATCAGAGTTTTGTATTAATTGCCCTTTCACATCCATTCCTAGCTCTGCTCCTTGCCAACTTCGCCATACTGAAATGCACCTATCTGTATCTGCACATGTCGGACTTTTACTAAGCCAAGAGCCTGACTCCCCTCCTGTCTGCTTCAGCTCTGCACCTGACTGACTCCCCTCCTGTCTGCTTCAGCTCTGCACCTGACTGACTCCCCTCCTGTCTGCT